TCCTTTAAATAACACATATTGAAAATGAAATCCTTATAGACAATGGCAATTCCCAGCTCTTAGCACGCTGCCCAAACAATCGAAGTAATTTACATTCGAGTCAAAATTCGTGCAATCCAACAGCCTATGGATTTTAGCGGCCGAGTGTGAAAAACTATTATGCACTTCCCCATATATCCTTGCCGCCAAAGGATCTTCCACAGGATCCGCACGAGCGTTAGTCCTGCGAGACAATAAACTCTCCAGAACGGCAAAACATTACGCAAGTCCAGCTACTGTTTCAAGTTCGTCGGAAAAAATCATAAAAACTTCCGGTGGATGGGAAACACTTGTGCAAAAAACAAAACCCGAGCTACAAGAGCTATTGGATGAGTGCGGGCTTCCAGGAAATTGAACAATTTGAACATAATTTGCATATGAGCCGAACCTGTCCTGGATGAGCACGAGGACTAAGGGCGGCAACTGTTTGACGACAGATTGCTCAATGGATCGATCCATCTGCATATGTACGGTAACCCCAAATACCGCATGGCTGTATTGAGAACTAGTTGGCATCTGCCGGCTCGCATTTTGCTCAACAAAAACTGGATAATCTCATATGGGAACAAAGCCATTTCGCACATTTACTTCCGACTGAATGGACATTGGAATATTGGTCCAGCATGTGTGGCCAGATCCATCCTAGATATGCAGAAAAACGATCTAACTCGAGTTCTCTTAGCCGAACTGTAACTGAACAACCTGCAGTTGCCTTTGTGGACCGATGGTTAATCAATTTACAATGCGACCAGGCCAGCAGGATATGGATTTGGGTTCGGGATAAGCCTGCTTTAACTTGAAAATATTGCTGGCAAAGCATCGGGAGAATAACTAACTTGGCCGCTGTTTTGTTTGGTTTTGTTTGGCTTTCCCTAATGAATATTCCTCGTTTCTGTGTCGGTGGAATATTGTTTCAGCCCATGCACATGCAAATTCCTGAAATGGAAATAGTAAATGGAAATAGTAATGGAAATAGAAATATAAGTCCTAAGCCGACCTAACTCACGATGTGAGTCCGCAGATACCGACTACGAAATGCGCACACACTGCTAGGAGTTATTGGCTTTGGTCCTGCGGCCAAACTATGAACAGAAATGAACAGCAGTGCGGCAAATCCTTTTCTTGAGAGATCGCCCAAAAATCCTTTCACAGTTAAATGTTTCCAAGCCAGGAAAAAGAGCGCCAAAAAGTGTCTTTGTCCTCCGCCGTTTTGCTCTACCCCAGATAACAGAATTCAGAAAACTAGAAAATACAAAAAATCCATGCAACGAGGCCAGGAGGTGGAGTTACTCAGATATTATCTTGGGTTCGGTTCGGTTTGGTTCGGTTTGGTTGGGTTGGGTTGGGCTGGACCTCAAGTGGGCTGGAAAACTCGGGTCAGTCAGCTGACTGAGTGGCAGGGAAAATAAATAGAACCAACTGAAATCCTTTGCTGCCGATCTTCCCTTTTCCCTTTTTGTTGACAGTCGCGTTCATTGATGCGTTTATCATCTGGCAGATCCGAAACTTCAGATATGCATGGCTGCATGGACCTCACTGTGGGTGCCATTGATAACTGGCCAGAGATCTCTGGGTCCATTCATCCGCAGCTAATCTGCGTTTGCTATAATTATTTGGCCCGAAAGTGGACCTGCTCTCCAAAATGAAGATGATGATGATGCGCAAAATGAGCACCTTATCGAGGCATATCTGTATTTTGCCTTGGCCACTTTTTTCCTGCCCTTTCGCATTTGTAATGTATAGGGACTTGTGTGCTGATTCTGTGACCACCAAGGAGGCAGTCGAGATTAAAATCAATTAGCCATAAAATGCAACATCTCAATTTGGCATCGACTGCGTGGGCAAAACACTCGAGCTACCAAATGGGCGTGACTGGGGTCTACTAAACGATTATTGGCCATTAAAACATTAACGAGGGCCATAAAAGTTGAAAATCAATACGATCATTAAATGAAAATGGTGAAGTTCTCATTAAATTCCCCGTTTTTGTAACAGAACAGAATTGAAAACTGCTTAATATGCATCAAATGATCCTAATGGCCATTTCGTTCCTGACACACTAATAGAACAATTTCACTTTGTCTGTCTTGGGAACACTATTTCCCGTCAATTTTCATGTCTTGACCACATTAAAATTCATGATTCCCCAATAAAGTTGTCTTCTAAAGGTCTTTGCCCGGACTTCCCAACCTTTATGCCGCCGCTTAATATTTTCCACGCATCATCATTTGGTCGGCCAACTTCCTTCCGTCTTCGCTGGCAGCAAATCGGCTTATAGAACGATTTCCTCCGAGTTTCCGCCAGAGTTTCCATGCCGCAACATCGAAAGTCTTGGCAAACAGAGCTGCGGCGAGGTAGGTAAGTAAACTTGACTCCTAGCCCAACTGAAAGGGGGCTCGATCGGCATCCAGATAGAGCCGAAAGGAAAACAACTGGCTTCTTAGAATCCAACAGAAGCATTAAAATCGGTGGGGAGCGGCACCGCACGTACTTGTTACTAGACAAACCTGTTGGACGTGCGCCCTTTGGAGAAAAATCAGGAAAAACGCCACGGCAGGAGAGGACTGTACCCGACCGGGTACAGTGAACGCCCTGGAACGGATGCCAGTACCAGTTTGGAGCCCGCAAACAAACAAATAAGCGTGCAGCCATAGAAATGAGCCGATCTCGGATAAGTTCCGTGGTGGGTTGCATATGTTTTTGGGGAGGCAGGGAGTGAAGCTGGTCGTGATTGCACAGTGAAATCGCAGCGGAAGAAGGCGACATGCCTGCCATAATAAAGGGCTATAGCTGGGAGCCACTGCACTGGCAGAAAAGCAAGACCCACAACTGCAGAACAAGGTAATCTCCAGATAAAGATACATGCAAAACGAGTGCAGTCTGAATTCATTGCGCTCTCTACATGGGCTACTCGTGGATTATTACAAATATGTGCGCAAATGAGAACGATTTTTCCCAGTGATTCAGAAAAAGGCGTCGAAAGGGGGCAGGAATGTAAATGTTTATGTATCTATGGGATGCCTTACATATGCACACATCCATTTATGTATGCGCGGCCTAGGCCTGCGATCCACCAAAAGGTGAGTGATCTTTACAATTCGACACTTTGACTTTACAAACGAGAAGGAGGAAAGAATGGGAAAAGGGAATGGTACTGGTGGAGGGGGGTTTCAGGATGGGATGGGGTCTTCGGGATTGGGAATTGGAATTGGAATTGAAGGTGGAATGGGAATGGGCATGGGCATGGGAATGGGGTCTTCAACCGAACGGACAGCGCAATCAAAACAAAATCCATCGAAGACTGGCCCGCGTAGAAAAGAGAGTTGTAGAAAACGAAGCCAGAGGTGAGGCGAGGGCAACCAGCCGACGGAACGAAGACATAAAACAAGTATCCAAGTATCTGTAAAACAAAAGGATGCGCGACCAGGGCATCCACAAGATACTCTGAAGAAGGGTCAAGGCGAACGGGGATTTAAGTACTTTTTTGGGCATGGCTTATGATGGATTTGCCCGGCTGAGCATGCTAATGGATTTCTCGACTTTCTCCTCCCGGCCCGGCAATCCGACATTTTTGGAAACATCAAAGCTGCACGGGGTTTTTCGAGAAATGCGATAAATGTAAATGGATATGATGGGGTTAGGCTAGGCGGAGTAAACCAGTTCTAAATGAAAACGCTTGGTATACACACACAGCATGCAGAACTTGTTGAGCTGGCAGCTGGCCGAGGATTTCCAAGCTTTAATTTGGTCCGGTTCGCATTAATAGTAAGCTATATAGTAAGAGCAAATCCACCCTGCACATCCAGCCACCATGTGCTGAGTATGCGTTATTTTTATGACGGAATTATTACATCATTCATCTTCATCAGGCGACAATGACGCAGACTTCGTGCTTATCGAGCGACTGTTCTGCATAATGTCTTGACCAAATCGCAGGGATGCGGATGCGGATGCCGATTCCGATTCGGATGCGGGTTCCAGGTTCCAGAAGCCAGGTTCTAGGGTGGCTGGGAAAAGCCTTGAATGCAAATGTGAGTGCCTCTGATTTGTAATCAAATTAAATTGTGTTTGGCACAAACAATGAGCGACAGGCGACAACATCTCGCATCCGTGATAAAAGCCGAAATTCCTGGTAGACGCCAAAGTCGGGCCGGAAAATGCAGTTTTCCCACAGTTGCCGCACGGCTCCAATCGCAACTTCTAGGGAAACTCCCTCACCACCATCACTGCGCTGGTGAAAACCTCATAAGTTCTCACTTTTTGGCAGGCCGCACACGGCGAGGGAAATTCGAGGCGGCAGGACTCGAAGGACACAGCGCCAGGCGATGAATAGACATTCCCGAGATAATCAACGGCATTATCTGCTGATTATTATGTATTCTTCGGGCATTCCGGAGAATTTCGTTATGAAAGAGCCACCGAACTCGCAAAAATATCGAACTATATCCGGGATGATCGGCGGATGATGAGGATGCCGGGACACCCGGTTGAGTGGCTGAGTATCCGCTTTCCTTTCTCCTCTCGTTTTTTTTTTTATACGTTTTTTCGTTATTTCGCAAATTCCCTGTGAGCTCATCATAATCATCATCAAACCCTCGGTCACTTGAGGTTTAAGCCAACATTAAAAAAGAGCCGAAAAAACACCCAAAACGAAGGAAATCGCTGAAATGAACGTGAGAACACCGAATGTCCTCGCACAGAAATTCGCTTGGGCTCCTCATTGTTCCTTGAAGTGCTCGAGAGATTTGCTAGTTGTGTCCTTATTGTTTGCGGGCGAATGTTCATGAATGAATCAATGAATGGCTGAATGGCTAAACGGCTGAAGTTCACGTCCGCACAAAGTATCCGAGTATCTGAGGGATATTGCCGCGTTTTTAGCTGGAATCCGACGAGTCCCGGATGCAGTCGAGGCGTGAGAAGGAGGCGATCTCTGCGGCCTTGGCAACAAGTCTATTAGTGCCATGGTCCACTTGTTTATGGCTTACGTAACCTGGGTGGCAAAGGATGTGAAAACTGAGAGGTTCGTGAAAAGGATGCGCCCCGCTTTCTGCGAGTTGGGTAAACACACATCGCATCCTGTTCACCCTTGACCGATTGCGAATGCAAATCGCACATTAGAAGCCATGTGCAACTTTCCGCCCAGCAGTCAAACATTATGCAACCGAAACCGAAGGCCGCCCAGTCCATTCCATTGATGGCAAATGGCAGGGAAACCCATTCGGGACACGTTTTTATGGAGGTGCGAAATGGCACATTTTTTCAACGCAACCTGCCGCGTCATTGAGTCGTCGTCCTTTTTACACTGGCTAAGTGCAACCTGTGCAAGCCTTGCAATTTGTCACCTGAGGCGACATTCAAACTGCCAACGCATTCCAGCTGGGTTTTTGCTTTTGGCCTACTGGTTGCTGGTTCCTTTCATTTGGCCACGATTTGGTGGCAACAGTTTCATGAATCACAGTCGGAATGCCGACCGTTACGAGTATTCATTCACTCTGGGGACCATGAATGGGGCTTCGAATTTGATCCTTCAGTTTCATAAAATATTTATGAAATTTCCGACGAAAATATTTGTGCCCAATTTGCCAAATCATTTCCTTGTGCAAAACGGACGCGAATTTTCCCAGGCCTCCATGAACTGAAAGTGCAATTTGTATTTATGCAATGGGAAAGGTTTGAGTAGGTTTGACTCTTCAGGATTTTGGGAACCCCAAGGGAAAGGCTTAGATTCTGCGTAAAATCCAAGGAATTTATTTTAATGAATGGCATTTATTAAAGAGAAATTTCCGGCTACAAACAAAATTCTCCCTCCACCATACTTTTAGTAAATAATCATTGATCAGAGTTGGCTTGGAGTTTGTCCGTCAGCTTGGTGTCAGTGCTGAAAGTATTACAACTTCGTTTTTGGGACAACTGCTAAGCATGGAATCTCTGGTGGTGCCCAGTACGCCGACGGGCTTGCCTGGCATAGATCCGGGTCCAGTGCCAAAAAGAGCCAGGCTGAGTCAGTCCGAGCAAGAAACACCTGGTACAGTGGCAATCCAGCCACCCACACTACCGCCTCCCGAGGCGGAAACCGATCGCCGGATGTATATACCCGACTTGGACCAAGCCATCACCCATCGCGATGTGTTCAGTTTCTTCAGCAGTTTCGGGGATTTGGAGAAGGTTTGCGTGAGGAGCGGCACGGATAACTTGAACTACGCCATGGTGCTGTTCTGTCGTACTTGCTCCATGGAGCAGGCCATCAAATCGAATCCACATCTGATCAAGGGACACCGATTGAACTGTCGCAAGGCGAAAGAAAGACCTACAAATAAGACCTCTGCTTCCCTAAATAAGCCAAAGTCTGCGAGTACGCAGCCACTCAAAGCTGCTGTAATGCAGGCCAAGAAAAATCGAACTGGCCACCAAACATCAGAGAGGAATTCAAAGCCACCACTTCGCAGGTCCTTGCTTCTTCAAAAACTGGCGGAACCCAAAACTATAAAGCCAGTTACCGCTGAAACTGATAAAAACTATGTGTATGCAGTAACCGTGCAAGATGCAGGCTGCCGCTGGAGTTTCAACTTGTCCAAATCCAGTCCCAGTTTGGACGAGATGCGGGCACTGGAAAAGGGTCTTTCCAGGGCGGCAAAGCTCCTGCTGAGCATGCGGCAGAAACTGACTGCAGTGGCCTGCAAATCCGCCAGGCCAGCGGATCCAAAGTGGCCCAAAAATCCTACGAGTAGTGCCGGTAGCAAAGTGGCTTTTAAAGTTCCTCCACCACCTCCACCACCTCCACCACCTCCACCACCTCCTGCACCTCCAGCTCCTCCAGCAGCTCCTGCCCCTGATCCAGTGCTCCCATCCTTGCCGCTCCTTCTGGCGATTACTCCCCAAGCGCCTCTGCCCAAATCGGTTATTCCCGAAATGGCCAAGCCAGATCTGCGCTGCGCCGTACTGTCCAGTTTGGGTCAGAACTACGTCCATCACTGCTACACAAATGTGGAGGCTTATCGAAGGACCAAGAGCTACGTCGACCTGCTGCCCTGCGAGATGATACAGCGACCCAGCATTAGCAAGTATTTGGAGCAGATGCACGCAGGGAAAGAGTAGAAATATAAACATATATGCCCAAAGTAAAGCAACATTTCCCAGCAAACTTCTAAGAACACTTTCATTAGGAGGAAATGGCTTACATTACGCACGTTTGACACTTTTTAAATTGGGCGAAGCCGAAGGACGTGGCTTAGATTCCAAGAAGATATCAAAGGAGCACATTACACAAAAAGTTAATTCCTCTCGCATTTGGAACCTACGAAGTCAAAGGCACTTGAATCGCAGCAACCTGTCAACATAATTAATCCCCGGGATCAGCTGATGGCGGTACTGATCCACAAAATATGAACCATTCATAAGGGGCGCGGGAACGCGGGATAAAGGAGATGAAATAGGGGGCCTTGATTTCTTTAGCGGCCTCTGTTTTGCCCGACATTCCCAAGGATGTGCCTCCAAAAACCTGGCTTTCTTGCTGCTGGGCCGTGTTAATTGTCCAACATTGTGATCGTGGACGTGAACAGGTCGGGTGCCATTAACAATCTTAACAACGATCCCACGGCTTGTCGCCTTGTTTCTCGAGCGGTTTTTTATGCCATTTACGGAGAAATCTTGCAACAAATCAGGAGCTCCCTTTTCCAAAGTAAATACGAGTGTGCGAGAGCGACCTTTATTCGTTTGATGTTAAAAAATTGTGCTACCTTTTCCCCCTCAGCACTACTTGTCTTCCTTTCTGGCTGGCCATCTCTGTGAACCTGTGACGACGCAATTCTTTGCCATTATCAGCTGCATCCTTACAGGTCCTGCACTAGTTACCCGCTCTCGATTCCGATCCCGAGCCGATTCAATTTGGCTTTTATTGGGATCTCGGGCATCCCGATGCGGGGCGATCCTAATTGCGGTGGCAATAGCTCGGCGGTTAATCACTCTGTACCTGCGGCTTAGACAGTCAAACCCAGCAGTCACTCATCGCGGCGGAGGAGGAGGCGGAGGCGGATATATAATGGGTATATGGTCCTGCAAATGGATCGACCTCGATGATTTTCACCAGCCAAATTGCGGCTTTGTGTTGCCCTTTCCCGTTTGCCGGTGGATACATTTGGGCCGGATCGTTATCTGGTTCTCTTTGTGCTTTCAAGGTTTATGGTCTAGTACACATATTTCCTGTGAGAACAAATCCCAAATCCCAGTCCTGCTGACCCCCGTAAACCCGATGGGCATGGAACAGCCCGACTAACAGCAACAAGATTGGTGTATTCCACTAATATTCGACATCCCCTTCCATTTTTTGGGGCGATCGTGTACTCGCGGCCTAAAAAATCTACATAATGACAGGGCCATGCCGAAAACTAGTTCAGATCGCAAATCACGAACCGGTAAGGGATGGGATGTGTGTTGCAGTTACCATCCAGGACACTCGGGACAGGACATCAAGCGCAACGGGAGACGCGGCAGTTGAGGTTCGGCAAAGGTCATGTCAGGACTTTGCATAAAATATTTGAAAATGTTTTCATTATGGTAAGTAGACACAAAAGCCCAACACACGAGCGATTCCCACCGAAAGGGGTGTCCTTTCCCAGCCCATCCTGCGCCCAGGACACTGGCATGTATTGGTGATAAATTAGTTTAATGTTCGAAGCACCGAACTGCCATGAAAAAAAAAACACACTCAACCGCAGCTGAGGCGGCAAAGCTTGGCAGGAAAAATCGTCCTAGCATTTTTGGCGGCATTTTCCCGACATGTACGTGTCCACCGAAATGAACTCGAGTCCTGCCAACTAATGAACTGCGCAAACAATGGGCATTGCTTTGAGGAAAAAACTACGTAAAAATCACGTCTTGGAAATTTTCACATCGCTGATTTCAAATGGAAGAGTACACCTCTGTTGCCGGACATTGCAGGCCAAACAGGATCAAACAGCGATCAGGACATGAGACAATTGCAGTGCGCAGGACAATTGTTGCACTCACGCACGTGCAATGTGTCCCTGCAACTCGGAGTCGAGTGCGCAGAGCCACGCCCATTGTGCCGCTGCCCGACTATATAGTACAGTGCGTTTCGTGAATGAGGCGACCAGAGTTACGAGTTACTTTGAATAGCGGCGGCGGTGGCAAGTGGATCAGATCCTGCGACAATGGCCTTTGTGTCCTTTGTGTGCCGCCTTGTTGGGGGTGTGCGGTGTTGTTGCAATTTTAGTGTAATTTTATTGTTATTAATTGTATGAAATGGGTTTTTAAATGGCCTTTGTCCGGGCAAATGAATGGCCATAGTCATAGCAAAAACGTGTCTTGTTAAAGGCATGTAATATCATAGTTTTTTTAGCGGCACAAATAAATCTCGTAATTGTAACCAGTTTCTTTGTTTCTGCGTAGTTCTTAACAGTTTTGAGCTCTCAACTTTTAAATAAAAAGGAATGACTTTTTGTAAAACCAACTAGCGTGCTATCAAAGCGGCACAGGTTTTTAAGGTAAATAAATAAACAAACTCAAGGCTATTGAAATCATAGCCAAAGGAAACATAATCACTGGCAATAGGACGACTTCAAAGACGCTCAAAGAAAAGCAGTGTAAGGTCTGTCCTCCAAAATAATAGTATAAGGACTGCTCTTAGGAAAACAGCAGTGCTCCTTGGAAATATGAGCTGAAGTGTTTAGAATTCGAGTATTCTAAGGTCAAGCCTCGAAAACCACAAGATACCTTTCGAGGAGTACTTTCAAGTCGCCTCTCAAATTAAACAGAAGTTACTGTCCATAAAGGATTCCTCGGTCGCAGTTCTCCTTTCAGCCAAACCCCCTTGGATGCCATTCTTTGGTCCTTTGCGATACACTTGTTGCCTTGTAAAGCGATTTCCGCACAGCTTCCCTTCTGGCTGCCGTTTGTTTAACACCTACTTCAAGGATCGCGCGAACCAGAACGATCATTTTTTACGGCAGCACCTAAAAAGTGTGGATGCAACAAAATGCCGAGTCGAGTCAACCTGCCACAATGCCTTGCATAATGGCAAAATTCGTGCAGAGCGCGGCAGGTAAACTCTTCGGGGAGTTTTGGACTCGCTTCGAGAGGCTTGTAATTCATATTTTCCAAACAATTTCTCTACGCAACCTTAACACTTTTGTGCCGCATAATTTCTGGGTTTCCGATCCAACCCAACCAGCACTCATCCATTGTCCGCGATGCTTAAGTATAATAAAACCCTCGCCAGGCGGGGGCTCGAATGGTTATGGTTTTCCTTACTGTGTCACCCAAATGCGTTCCAGGAATATCTTAGAGATAGAGCACCGGCCATTCAATAAATGATTCTGGTCAATGGCGGGGAGTGGCCGGAGAATCCCATTCACAGATGACCCGGATAGCGATAAAACTGTTCCGACTGTTCAGGAATGCGGTTGAGTCTGTCGCCTCGGTAGATATTTATGGATTCATTTGCTTATTTCTAGGAATTATACTCGGCATTCTCTGTTTTTTTTTACGTAACTGTTTCGCGTACCGAAATAGCTGACATACTCACAAGCATAGCTGATATGGATTAACAAGACTTGGCTTTTTCAGGATCGAATATTGAAATACTCTAAGTATGAATTCGTAATCGCACTGCTCACAGAATAAACCTTTTCAATTAACATGCGTATGGGATCGGCAATACCCTCTTTTAGTGAGGGTATACAAATGTGCCAGGATAGCAAAATATTTACTAATATCATCAAATACACGATAACAATAATTCTAATGAATAGAAAAGGAAACGCCCTGCTTATCAAACCTGACAGCACTTGAAGCACCAATAAAACAGGGTATTCCATGGCTTCGAAAATTGGATCAATTGAAGACTAACCCCATCATATATAACACATAATTCGCTTCATTCACAAACCAAAGCACGCGCCAGACTTAGTAAATATCGAAGGAATCAGAAAATCAAATAAAATAAAATAAAATGAACTGTTCGCGAACTTATGACATATGTACGAGTATGCAGATATATGCATATGCATATCCACATGCCATATGCGATATAAGTCTGCATAAATTGTCGACTGGAATGGAATTGTAGCGAATCGCTTGGCTAAAACTCGACGCGAAATTGGAGAAGACGAGCAATTCTTCTGGGAGCACGTCGCAGTCGTTTCCGCAGTAGGATAAAATATGATTTGCACATATGTACACAGCACACATGTGCTCCCCGTAGCGCCCCATTATTTGCACACACATTTTCGTCTTGGGATTATCATCTGGTCTTATGACAGTATCTTTTGGCAGTCCCCCAAGGTCAGTGTTCAAAAGAGGCGACTTATCGCCACATTCTCTACGGTTTCCATTGATAAGAAGCGGCAAGTAACGGAACGGCGGTTATAAAGCAATCAGAAATCCGTTTCATCCATTCATAAAAACTCCGTTTATCACTGGCGCACACATGCGGGTTAAGCGGACAGTGGGGGGTTAAAACTGGGGGCGTATGTTCGGGCGATATCTCGGTGACGTCACTCGACTGCAGATGGCGCTAATTCGCTTCATTTTTTTGTCGCTGTATTAGCATCACTCGCTCCGATTTCCGTTTCTGCGCAACCCGCAGACTCAAGTTTCCTCTAAAATGTACACAGAAAGAAATTGAGTGACTTTGCTAGCTTCATTTTAAGAGCTCTGAGTGAAGTAATCGTCTTCATCTATGGCGAAAAATCACATTTAATTTTTTAAATAAATCTTGCAAATTATTCTCGGTGCATCCCCTCCGCACTCCCCTGGCCACTTCTGGCTTAATTAAGTTATGCAAACAGATAAGTGACGTTTATCGACTTTTTACGCGCTTTTAACTAAGTTCAAATATGTTTGCGCACTTCTGTCGGCCAGCACGTATCTCGAGACCAAATGTATCTGTATCTGTAGTGCATCTGTGCCATATCTGCGTATCTGATGTTTGCTTATCGCACAAACATTACTTGGCAGTCAGCAGAGGTTTTTCACTTTCGTTTTATCGCCAGCCCAAAAATATGAAGGAAACAGCGCGGATTTCTTGAGACTCTTGTGCTGATACCCTTACTTTTTATCTGCGGGATGCCCTATCG